TCCTATGTCAATTTGCATATGAACGAAAGAGTGTTCATGCAGAATTTTTTTTTTTGCTGAATTAGCTTTCGTTCTCGCCAAGTTTACTCTTTTGCGCCTAAACAAAAAGCAAAGAAACTTTTCGTACGTTTTTGTCTTCAAAAAAGTTGAAGATAAATAATTGGGTGCTCCTAGCTAGTTCAGCGTCAAATTATTTCGCAGATGCTGGATTTGAAGATGACTTTTTAAAAAAGCATTTCCTATACTTATTGTATAGCGCCACGCAAAAATATTTATTCTGGCTGCTTCTTTTGATATCAATGCGACATGATCTTAACAAAAATTGGAAAAAAGAGGCTGTATTCCTAAACTTAAATGTTTAGAAAATGTAAAGCTGCAAAGCGCCGCGTCAAAGCGCTACTCATATTCCCGGTCAATCCACCATCAATCAAACATAAATTGAACTATATCATCAACAGTTAGGCTGATAGAGACTAGTGAGGAAATGAACTGCACCTTTAAATATAGAGCCCATGGTTGACTACAGATTCTTGAAGTCAAATTAAAGAAACAACGATTGGAAACTATATCAATTAATTCATGAAAGAGAGCTTTTCGCGTGTGCTTTATCAAACAAGTATTTACTCGGGCATTGTCTTGAGGGGCTGCCGCGTTTTATGGAAAGATAAAATCGGCAAATCGATGTCGGATTTCCAGTAATAAAAATAAATATGATGCAAATAAAATTTTTTAAAAATTTAAAGTTTTGGTTCTGGCGCGAACTTTACTCCTGTGGTTGCTTCCATTCAAGCATATATTCTTCTAAAATTAAAGTTAATTCATTGTCCGCTATTTCAGCATGACAGCGCGCATTGCAGAACCGTCTCATTATTTCATCGTCATGGACCTGTCAAAAATACGTGGGATCATTTGCATGCAATTAAATTTCGATAGGAGGGCTCTGAGGCAAAAATAAAATTGACTGAAGGCGACGGTTCCAGAACAGAATTTTGACATTTAAGTGATCCGAAATGTTACGTGTGCTTTCTCATAATTATGCAGGCTATGAAAACACAGTGTAAGGAAACAAATTTATGTGGAATTTGTCTCCGCTTTCTGTGCATTTTTACGATCAACCATCATCGAATTTAAAATAACAAGCCTTGCGTTGCAAGACGCAATTGACTCAAAGTTAACTATCTAAACTTAATTGCGTGTTATTTGCACAGTGCATTATTTTTTGTCGAACTAATAGAGCCCACGGAAGGTCTGTCATTGATTCACAGCTGCTCATGATCAAGAACAAATCGACAAATTCACAAAGAAGTAAAATGACATACGTAGAACATAATTTCGCAATTTCCCCAGATTTCCTTCACTATCCAACATTTTCCTACATTAAAATTGTTCATTCTACCGAAGGCAACTTTCTCTTTGGCTCGTCACACTGTTCGTGAGACCACGTGGCTAATTACGCACTAAAATGAGTTTTAAAATACGGAGCACCTGCCTTAAGACTCGGGAGAAAGTAAAAAAATCTTCTTTTTGAGTTAATCTTGAATTTCCGTACGTAAAGAGAGTTTCTTTCTTGTTTGTTAGTTTTTTTTAAACTAAAGTTTATGAATTAAAATCACCGTGGAGATCTAAAGCAAAAATGGGATTATTAAAAGGAAAGGACTGTAATGTGACATGTGACATGTCCTAATTTGATGGTAAATGAATAATTGTCCCTATTCAATAAATTATGGGTAACATCCATAAAAAATACTCTGTCTCTATGTAATCCAACACACATCTATCATATAAGGCTCGCTTTGAAGACAAATAGCTTCTAAATGGTGTTCATCAGTTTGACATCTTGACTGAGCTCTAAGTGGTTTTCTTTTTTGCTCTTTAAAGAGGAAGACTTAAGCCCGTGTTTACGTGCCTTGGAAATTAACATGAGGCATGTTGCATGTGAGATCCATTCGAGAACTCCCACACGCAATCATTTATGTCTAATATTCCTGTCTTGTTGTCAAGAAGAGATGCGACCGAGACCCGCATTAATATTCATAGGAAATAATTTTGAAATGGTTAAAAAAAGAAGTGATCAGGAATATGCTCTTTAGTTCATCAGGGTTCATCAGTCTCAGGCCACTGAATTCTCAAACCGTTGGACAGGGGAAGCAACCTTATCGATCTCCAAAGGTTTACCGTGTTTCTTATTTCAGATCAACCTGAAAAAACGCTTGGAACAGTGCGGTTGAAATGTAAATTTTTCCCTTTTTCTAATCTTCCTTTAGTACTAAGAGGCTACAAGTCTATTTGCTGACAGCGGACTTCAGTGCATTCTATCACAGGTACGTTGAGTTGCAATGAGAAATTCAACGCTTCTTAACTGACTTTGTATGGCGAATATATTGGCAGATTAATTTCCTGTCTCCAAACTAATACTAATAACGTTACAGTCCATCAAAAATAGTTGTATACATGCGCCAAAGGTGTCATCAATGAGATATCATACATTGTTATCGTTTCTTTCTGATCCTTTTTCTAATAATTTTCGTTATTGGTATTATGCGAACAAATGAAGGAACCGTGCAGAAAATTCAAAATAATAATAAAAAAAACTGTTTCTGAAAGTTATCTTTATTCATCGGGACGGAAAACGACAAATGAGAAGATGACAAATTTGAAACGTTTTCGTCCTAAAGGTAAACCAACAACAAAGACCAGTGTTGATATAATTTAAGGATGGGAATACTCAATACTTCTATGCAGAAATGCTTAACCATGACTTCATTACTAGAGGTGCGTTCCTTTGGGAGGATCTGGATTTGGATTTGTGTTACAAGATCATACAGATCACGGTGCATGAAAAGAACGACGTTTCAGACGAGCTCTCAGAGAATTCCAAAAGGTACGCTATTTTTAAGACTATGCAAGTGGGTTAGTGAGCTCTTCCCTGAATGGTTCGTCTTATTGCTCGGGCTTTTAGCACGCATTTGTCATTAGAAGTACATTTTTTCATGGTAAACTCAAACGATGGAATTAAAACAGAAGCAAATATTGATTACGATATGGATACTTGGGAACCCTGAATGCTTGCGATCAGTGGCCGATCGATTCAACGTAACAAAATCGATTTTAGTTCGTGTTTATCGTAGAATTTGTGGAGCGATTGCCAACAATCTTTCCGCTCAAAAAAAAAGTACCTACTTGTTTAAAATTGAGCACCGCTGGGCAAAATGATTAATGTCGGATCCTTCGTCCAAAGGAACGCGTTGGATCAGTGATTTAATGATCCGTCTTTAGATCACGCAGATCGGTGATCCAATGAATCCTTGTACAGAGTGGATTTGATAGATCACAGATCTGAAAATGGATTTGCTCGAAAGGAGCGCCACAGATCAGAAATCCTGATTCGGATTCTCCCAAAGGAACGCACCCTAAGATTTTTTCACTAAGGTTATTTATGGAGAAAATCAAAAGTCCTGCCTCATTCCTTTTCCTGTTTCCAGTATTTCTGTTCCTGTTCACAGCTTTAGTGACGTCCTGAAGTATCATCGACACAACCAATATGAACTTTGTCAAAATAAACATTTAAATGTTTTGTTTCCTTTGAATTCACAATAGATTCCTCTCACCACACCTTAGGTTGGTATCGAATAAGATTTTAGGCGGCCATGGGTGTTCCCTTGACTGATTATTTATTCAGTAATAATAGTCTTGTCCTATTAAACTTAGGCAACAGAAAAAACAGGAACTAAAGATGAAACGAAATACCGAGTGGATTGTTATGACAGTCATCTACGCCATCACGATGCTCGTAGCGTTTGCAGGGAATAGTTTCCTCATCTACATCGTGTGGAAGAAGCCTGAAGTCAGATCACTGACAAGCTTCATATTCGTTAACATGGCCATCGCTGATTTGCTGGTAACCCTGGTTGTGATGCCTTGGTCGATTTCCGCAATGTATACAGACGGTTTGTGGATGATCCCGGGAGTATTTGGAAAAGTCATGTGCAAAGGTGCTGTATACACTGCCTACGTCACAATAACAGCATCCGTCCTCTGCCTGACGTTCATGGCGATCGACAGGTACTATGCCATCGTTCATCCCCTCCGCCGCCATCTTTGGTTTCGAAAGCCTAAACTAACTGTTCCATTTATTTGGATCGGGTCACTGGTCTCCATGTCCATTTTCCTTGTTATTCAAACTGTGGAGGACTACAATAATTCTTCCTATTGCACGCTATCTGTTTACATCTTGGGTGATCCAGATAGGGCTCTTCGAGGAATATACCTCCTCCTTTTCGTCGTCAACTATCTCATCCCCTTGGTCGTTATTTCTTTCCTGTATACCATCACTGCATGGAATTTATGGTTCCATGTTGCACCTGGAGTGAATACTTTTAGAGGAAATCGAGCGCAACTGGAAACCTCCAAGAGAAGAGTGGTTCGGATGCTCATTATTGTTACCTGTGCCTTTACCTTTTGTTGGCTCCCACCACAAGTGGTCCACATCATGTACGTCATTCACGCATCTAAGGTTTACCTACATATACAGCCGAAAATCAGCTTTGTGTGTTTTTGGTTTGGACACGCTAACAGTGCCGTTAACCCATGGCTGTACATTTTTCTGAGCACCAAGATAAATACGGCATTTACTAGGATCGTCAGTAGAAAAAGCAGCCGGTTGCCTTCAAGTCTCGCTGTCAAAACATCAGATGCCGTCTTACCACCTGAAGATGAAGCAATCCAGAAAGAATCGAGAATATAATCTCTCTCATAACATGAAACTTTTATTACCAATTTGGTAACTGTAAAATAGAAACTCGCTTAAAACGGATTTGCGTATTACTAATTATAGAATATAATACAAACACTTATAGAAGGTTTCATAAAAGTTACTGCAGTAATCCGAGTAATTTCATGAGAAATCGATAATTGCAACTTAATTCGACAAAAACTGTTCTATCGGCTGGTAAGAATAAAAAGGGAGATCCGTGGCAGAGTAAACTATAGGAAGAAGCATACTGGCATTGCTTCTTCGATGTTTGAGGCAGTGTGGTGAGGGTGATGAACTAGTGATCTGGTGGTCACGGATGAAAGCCCTCTACCTTATTACTCGCTGGATTTGTTTACGTTTTTCCCTAAGGTCGATTCCTTGACTCGGTTTGTATACAGCCAACTGGTGTGCCCTCTGCTGGTTGGGATTTTCAAAACACTATGATTATTTATAACGGCTGTATTCCAATTTGATTGAAATGGCCGTGAGAGCCCTATGGGTTATTGATGAAAAAGGAAACGCTGACATGTTTCTTCAGTGCTCCAGGTAGCGTTAATTAATTGTATTTGCATACCGTTTCCGCGATAATAATTTAACTAAGTATTCCAGTTTATAATTAGCTGTTTTGAAAGGAGATCTGTAACAGCCGGTATGACATACACAATTAAAGCAAAAGAAATGCTTATGGACGTAGAATCATCTCATTCCGTTTAGAATGGAGCGCGCTAAGCACTTGGCCACCCGATCTCCCTCAAGGTTGCAATATTTGTTTTTTCTTTTTGTCTGAGATTTTCAAGGGAAGCTCAGCAATCCCTTGACAGAATACCATAAGAAAATATGCACTGTTTTTTTTTTCGCCATCCTAATTTTTCTCCCAATATTGATAACATCTATATCGTTTTCGGATTATGCAGAAAAAAAATAAGAATTCCCGTGAAGAAAATAACCGCGATTGCTCTTGGAGAAGAGGTAAAAGGTAAGCCGGACAGTTTATTGTTATAGCAGGAAAGGGTGATTGGGAATATTACTTTTCCGAGGGTGATAGCAACAATATAACCTGTAAGTGTGTCTGCAAACGCTGGTTGATATATCTCTGGAACAAAGGCACATTTGGTTTTTCTAGTATCACCTTGTTATTGTTCCTTGCTGAAGTAGTCATCAAGGCTTTTAGGCTAATTAAGTGTAATCTTGGAGAGCTAAATAAAGGTTTTATGTCTCATTTAGTTGTGCATTCTGGAGCCCCAAACACTCTAGCCAAAGGTACTGGTTTAGTTAATTTCTTTGCGATACACAGAACGTCATTGCATTCTTAGTTCCCGCCGGATTGCTATGTTCTGAAAGCCGCTCTTAGAGATTAAATTGTTGAGTACTGATAAGTAAATGCAAGGATATTTTGGATGCGACCTCCCTTTAAAAAGGCCTCTATGGAAAAAGAGAGTGTTGTGAAGTGCTATTACGATGCAAGGT